CCTCCCCCTCTTTTTTGTGCCTATTACTCTCTTGTAACCCCTCTAACCTTCTACACTTATACATGGCCTTATTGTGTTGCAAGTGCCGTAAAACTCTTACTAGAACTAAAAAATCTCTGCAAAAAAATAAAAACCTCTGTTGTAACACCACTAATCTTGGGCATTTATACGACCGTATTGTGTTGCAAGTGCCGTAAAACTCTTACTAAAACTAATTAACAGCCCACCCCCCGTCCCATCCATCAGGTGAAAGAGGCCAACTAACCCCCTGTCCCATATTGTCTACATCAGGTGAAGGAAGCCAACATGCCGCTCCACTGTAGCTGTGCCGGAGAGTTCCGACTGACCTACGACCTCACCGACTTTGGCAAACAGTTGGTCACCTTACAGGGGATTGCTAGGTATGTAGGTTTTGTTGTCGTTGTTGCTGCTGTTGTTGTAAATGTTGATGTATGACCTTATGCAGTTGCGAGCTCCGTAAAACCTTCTTACCTGACTACAACTACCGTATCTCCCCTCCTCCTGTTGTGTGTTTGTCACTCTCTTGTAGCACCTCGAATCTTCAGCACTTATATGACCTTATTATGTTTGTTACTCTCTTGTAACACCTCGAATCTTCAGCACTTATATGACCTTATTATGTTTGTTTGTAACACCTCGAATCTTCAGCACTTATATATGACCTTATTGTGTTGCAAGTACTGTAAAACACTTACTAACATTTTGTTTCAAGCTGACTAAAACATACAAGAAAATGTTGATGTTTTTGTTGTTGTAGGTTGTGTTTCTCATTACTGTCGTGACAGTCCAACCAGTGTGGTTGGCGGGTGCTCTGCTGTGGTTTGCTCCTTCTTTCCTACCAAACATCTATCGTCCTGATTTCCTCTCCTTCTTCTTTTTTGTGTTTGTTACTCTCTTGTAACACATTTATTTTTCGACTCTTATATGATTTATATTTGTTGCAAGTGCCGTAAAACTCTTACTACCACCACTACAGACACTACAAGATGGAGCTGCTCAGTGACATGATCGACTTGATAGCTCAGTCCAACCCTGGCCTTGAACTCTGACCCCTGCCTGGATTGACCTTCCAGCGGCGTGAGGACACCGTGACCTTGACACCACACCCTCTGCCTGGCTCCACCTGACTGCACAGTCACACGCTGGTCGTTGAACTCTGACCCTTGACTCACAGGAAATTTGGCCTTTGTTTTGGCTGTACTTTGACCTCTGTTTGCGTTGACCTGGTTGGTAGAGCAGTCTAACCATGGCCTTGACCCCATGTTGACCCTAGATGTGTGTGAGTTTTTGGCTGAGCAAGACGTGCTTGTCTGACTGACTGAATGTCATCGTTTATGAACCCCCTTGTTGCCTCATCGCGTGCGCAGTACCTCACCAAAATGTGTACGGCCTAACTTTTAGCGTTCAGTGGTACCGTACAGCGGATGTCGCAGAAGTTGGCCAAATTTGCCACTCCTGGTTGTCTGAAAGACGTGCCGTGTACGTCACGCGAACCACCTGGTTCAAATTCTTCTGTACAGGGATTTAGCCACAAGAACAGAGTGGGTCGGTATTGGGGAAGAAAAGATGCAGGTATCAGTAGGCCTACCTTCCAACTTTGCTGGGATTAGTTTACCGAACTTATCGACTTGTGATAATCTAGGAAGTTGACAAGAAAAGGAGGAGTAGTCTAAAGCGCAAATGTTATTGATATGGAAGGGGGGGGTAATCAGGAGAATTTATAGAATATTTTCGGTAATTTCCCCTGTGCATTCCAACAGCGGGAACTCGCCCACAGTGGGGTTTTTCTTCTAGAACCAGAAGTACGGCTATAGCCTGCGTCTACTGTGTTAGTTTACTGTACTGCTTCAGTTACAAGATGTCAATCAACAGGTCTGGTGTGGTATTCGTTTACTGTACCACTCGACTCACAAGCTGTCAATAAATAGGCCTGGTCTTGCAGACGGCCACATTCTCTCGCAAGATATAAATTTAGACCAAAGTTAGGACTTAAAAAGAGGCCGAAAATGTCACTTTTTGATTTATAATTAGCTCGACAAGTTTTTGGAATGTGTATGGGTAAGATGGGGAATATAGGTTCTAATTTTTTTAAGTCCTAAAGATCATTCTTTTGATTCATAAACAAATTTATTTTTTAATGAAAATAGATGTTGAGAATTACGGGGGCTCGTGGGTCAGGTCTTTGGCCCCAGGGACTGATTGTCACTCACTCTGAGCTCTGTTTACTTTTGGTATTTTCCCATCTCTCATTCGGGCTGGATTTTATTGACACTAGTCGCTGAGTGATTTGCATTAACAGAATTCAATTTTACCGGGTTCTGCGTTGTGTACCAACATTTCGATGTTTAACCTTGTTTGTTTTGTTTATTTCAAAAGACTTTCCCCCACTTTTTGCTCACATAAATATGCCGCGTTTTTTTCTCCACCATTTTTTTATTTTCCAAAACAGAGACTTGGAATTTGGCATGTAGTTAGAGAAATGGTTGGTACGTGTGGTCAGCTGCTTAGTTTTACTTTTTGTAGGTACCAGAAACTTAATTTTCAAACTAGTTGTATGCCAAATGTATCTGTTCCGTTTGAAAGGCCTATATCCACTGAGCATTTTGGTACCATTCTTTAACCTCTCCGTCAATTTTTAAGAAAATGGTAGTTGTTTAAAATTTGATCAAATTTGTTAAAGTCAGTCACTGGCTGCAACCCCATGTTTGACAGACAATCAAAAAAGTACCAAGTGCACTAAACATCTCCACATTAACAGAGTACAATCACTATAACAAATATATGGAGCCTAATTTTTTTCAAGACTGAGATCATTACAAGTCAGTATTTTATCGCCTCAAACACGATTATCTGTCGTTATTTCGACAAAAACACCGAGCGTTGACCCGGCGGCACGCACCGGCCCCCGCGGCGAGCGAGTTGGCTCTATACTGTAGTGTACCCCGCGTGCGGGGTCACATGCTTTCTGAGTCTCGCGGAAGGATTGATGAAAAATAATTCCAAGTTAATAACTTTGTTCTAATAGAAAATGAACTGATCTTTTAATTGATGCCAGTTATAAGTCGGTATTTTACATATTTTGTGTAAAAAGGGATCTTTAAACATTTTGACCGTATTTTTTAAAGCTTTCTATAAAGACGCCAAAGGCTAAACTTATATCACGGGAAAGCCCTTTTAAAGCTCTACAGTTCTCCGCCAATGAAAAGACGGTATTTAATCACCCCTCGTTCCGCGAAGCATTTGAATGCACGCGTGTCAATTTTTCAACCGGCCGACCTCGCATTCTGACCGCGAGGGGCTTCGTTTTCGTCGGCGATTCTCCAGCTCCTAATAATCGGACATATAAACAACTTACACCATTGTAACGAGGAAAAGCTGAACTTTTACAAGGTGTATGGCGTTTGGTGTTTTATAGCGAAAGAGCAAAGAAACGGCGATCGGAATTACCCCGATTTTACCGATACCACGCGGTCGGAAGGCCGAGAGTGCCCGCGAGGCCGTGTTTACGCTACCTTCTTTTTGCTATAGGATTATTTTTTTTTCATGCCAAAAATATTTTTTAAAGATCAAATTCCATCCCAAACTTTGAGAACAATTTTGGATACTTTCTAAGTATAAAATCAAAAATCAAAATAGCCAGCTGCCTGCACCTATTTATTTGTGACATTTTGCAAGTTACAGAATTTTTAACAAATGGTGGAGAAAAAAAAATCGATCCAATTGTCAAGACGATGTGTCAACAGTTGAGCCTGAATCTTTGGCTGTCAACAGTTGAGCATGAATCTTTTGTGTCTCACAAGACGGGGTGTCAACAGTTGAGCCTGAATCTTTTGTGTCACACAAGACAGGGTGTCAACAGTTGAGCATGAATCTTTTGTGTCTCACAAGACGGGGTGTCAACAGTTGAGCCTGAATCTTTTGTGTCACACAAGACGGGGTGTCAACAGTTGAGCCTGAGTCTTTTGTGTCACACAAGACGGGGTGTCAACAGTTGAGCCTGAGTCTTTTGTGTCACACTTACTGCCTGTGACCACAGTTGCTTCAGTTTGTCTGTGGTTTGAGAATATGTTGTCCCGTAAGTAGCGAGCCCCCTTAATTAATCAAGAGCGTTATTTTTTAAATCTTGATAAATTTGTTTAAATAATTGAGATTTCAAAATGACCATAATTTTTTGGGGGGAATCATCAAGATTTAAAAAGAAAAAGAATTGTCAAGATTATTTTCTTAAATCATGGAGATTATTTATTTTTAAATTCTGAAGATCATGAAATTTTAAAAATACTTATGATCATCTTTGTGAATCATGAATGTCATTTTTGAAATCTTGAGACTGAAGACCTGAATGTTGCTTCTTTCCCAAGTGCAAAGACGTAGCGTGTCAGTGTGTCATGTGTGTGGGCTGACTGTGTGACACTGTCTCTCTCTCTTACATTTATATATATATATATTTATACACTTACAGCTTTCTAACACTTTTCTTTTCTATTAATTCCGGGGGGGGGGGGGGGGGGGGGTTCTCTAATTACGGTGCAGCCTCTCTATTACTGTGACGACATCGATGGTCAGGATCAGAAAAAAAATGTCGTTGTAGTAGAGAGTTACTGTTATAGAGAGGAAACCAAAAATATTCCTGATATATAATATAAAGACAAAATCGGGATCTGGGGGTTGAGAGAGAGAGAGAGAGACGGTAGTAAGAGTAAGACTGGGAGTTGAGAGAGAGAGAGAGAGAGACGGTAGTAAGAGTAAGACTGGGAGTTGAAAGAGAGAGAGAGAGAAAAGGTAGTAAGACTGGGGGTTGAGAGAGAGAGAGAGAAAAGGTAGTAAGACTGGGGGTTGAGAGAGAGAGAGAGAAAAGGTGGTAAGACTGGGGGTTGAGAGAGAGAAAAGGTAGTAAGACTGGGGGTTGAGAGAGAGAGAAAAGGTGGTAAGACTGGGGGTTGAGAGAGAGAGAGAGAAAAGGTGGTAAGACTGGGGGTTGAGAGAGAGAGAGAGAAAAGGTAGTAAGACTGGGGGTTGAGAGAGAGAAAAGGTGGTAAGACTGGGGGTTGAGAGAGAGAGAGAGAAAAGGTAGTAAGACTGGGGGTTGAGAGAGAGAGAGAAAAGGTGATAAGACTTGGGGTTGAGAGAGAGAGAATGTGTTTTGAGAGAAGGAACGTGTTTCTAAGAAAGTAAGAAAAAGATGAAAAGTCATTTTGTCAATATGTTTTCTTATTGTTGCTAATTGTAAATTCATGTTTGTTCTGTGCGTCCGACTGGAATAAACTAATAAACACTTGTTACTTGTCGGTTCACTTGTTACTTGTTGGATACTTTCATTAACAATTTCGCCAACATTATGTATACAGTATAACACGGATAGGTCCAACATTATGTATACAGTATAACACAGATAGGTCCAACATTATGTATACTACAGTATACAGTATAACACAGATAGGTCGAACACAGAAGACTCAAAATCATGCATCTGTCGAAATGTGCCTGCGGTCTCGTTATTTTTCCCCCTTCTTTATCTTTGTAAGATATCCCTGGAACTACGGATCCCTCGAACTTCCGAGGCCGGACCTGACGAATTCGAGCTATCTGTGTTCTTCTGTACCGGTGGTTCTATCTCTGTCTTGTGGTAAAGGCCGACGTGAGGCGTGCAGACAAAATGAGTTACCGGGTACTTCTCAAGACCCACAAGTGGAGATATTGGCCCAAAATTTGAATTGACACTAGGGTCAACTTTGTTGATTTTCTATTGATGCCATACTTATAAAGTAACATGGCTTTTATTATTTCATACTTATAAATTATAAAAACTTCTCCTTCTATAAGTTAAAAGCATGATATAATAATCTATTTCCATAGGGCCCGAATCTGAGAAGTAACTCATTTTGTCAGCATGCTTTACAAATGTCTTTATGAAATCGAGAATTTTGTTGGGATGAACGAAGAGGAACAAATTCTACTATACTACTACAGTGCATTAAATTATTTCCTTTGGGTCTCTCCAAAGTTGGGACATTCTCTTAGGATGTGTCAGATTTAGGTCACCTAGGTGGGGATCACAGCCAACCCAAAAGGGTTTTTCATCTCCCTGCAGGAGGTATAGAATTTACTCTATACATGTATTATGTGTCCAGGGACATATGTCTATATGGAGGCTAGATCTGATTTCCTGAATTAAAGTAACTTTGTTTTGTCTGGAATTTGGTGACTCCATTTATTCCTCTCACAGACTGGAGGTGTAGCTTTTAACCTGGCTTTTGAAGTCTGTCTACAGGAGAGTGGGTGGTTGGCGGGTGCCCTGATGTGGTTTGCTCCTTCTTTCCTATCAAACATTTATAGTCCCGATCTCTTTTTTTTTGTATCGTATGTTACTCCCTTGTAACACTTTTTAACACCTCTAATCTTCGGCACACATATGGCCTTATTGTGTTGCAAGTGCTGTAAAACTCTTATGAAAAAAAAGGGGAGAGTGTTCTTCACTGATCCCAACAGAAGGGACCAGGAATCCTTGGCCAAAAGATCCACCCGCTCCTTTCCCGTCTCGTCTACATAAACTACGGTACAAGATAGGACGTGCTTAGGACTAGGCGGCCATGTCAACACAGCACGCTTTTCCTGGGACGTCTACATCAACTACGGTACAAGATAGGACACGCCTAGGCGGGCATGTCAACACAGCACGCTTTTCCTGTTCAGCCAAGGATCAAGGAGCGCATCCTTACCCGAGGCTTGACCATTTTAGGGTTTTGGGGTGAAGTTGATGAGTGAAGTGAGGAAAGACGAGGAATCTGACAGAATCTGACTCTCTCTCTCTCTCTCTCTCTTCTGGCGCTGTGGCTTCATAAACGGTCAGCGATGCCGACAGCACGCAGGAACTCAACATTCGCCCGGTGGTCCTTAAAAAGTGCTGAAAGTGGGTTACTGAAATGTCCCAGCAGACAGAATCTGACTGAGAATTGTGAGGCATGCTGACAAAATGAGTGACTTTTCGCAATCCACAAATGGAGATATTGGCCAAAAATGTAATTGACACTAGGGTCAAATTTGTCAATTTTCTATTGATGCCATATTTTTAAAGTACAGCATGCTTATAAATTGTAAAAACTTCACCTACTATAAGTTATTATCAACGTGAAGTATCTATTTCCATAGGGCCTGAATCTGAGAAGTGACTCATTTTATCAGCATGCTTAGAAAAGATGACAGGAGAGCTTTCTACAGAGTCCAGTACCATGTCTATGGCGGTGTCCTCTTCAGAAAAACTGGAGGTCTCGGGATGACGCCTCCTCTGTTGAGTGTTGTTTGTGGATCTTACGGCTGAGTCTGACTGAGTTGGAGGCTTCCTTCCTTTATTCTTCATCGACATACATCACAACAAATACAGGGGCCCCTCAAGGATGTGTTTTGTCACCAGTTTTATTCACACTATACACGAACGATT